GTACGTGCGAGGCAAAGTGAAAGAGGAGCTGTTGCCCCAAAGAAACCCTAGCTAAACACGGTTCAAAATGGTTCTATTATGATTCGTGCTGCCTGTTTGGGCGGAGTCAGTCCGGTTCTACTCATCTGGTTGGAATAGGGGTTGTTGTGGGGGAAGCTTCACACACACACACACACACACACACACACACACACACACACAGAGAGAGAGAGAGAGAGAGAGAGAGAGAGAGAGAGAGAGAGAGAGAGAGATTGGAGCTGGCAGTGGCAGTGGGCACCACGTGGCATGTGGTGCTGCCACATCTGTATGTGTGTGTGTGTGTGTGTGTGTGTGTGTGTGTGTGGGTTATGGTACATGCATCTGTATGTGTGCTTGTGTGTGTGTAGCATATGGTGTTTGCAGCATCTGTATGTGTGTTTGTGTGTGTGGGGCATATGGTGCTGCCATTGACCACCCGCACAAAAAAAATTGGCATGACCCTATTGGTACGATTGGTACTGTGCGTCTTTTCAGCCAGCACAAAAATTTCGGCATGACCCTAATGATGCCATTGGTACCGTGCATCTTGTCAGCCAGCACAAAAAAAAATGGGATGACCCTACCGGTACTGCTGGTACCGTACATCTTTTCAGGACGCCCCTATAGACGTTGTAAGCACTCAGCTCAAGCACGTCCACCTCTCTCTCTCTCTCTCTCTCTCTCTCTCTCTCTCTCTCTCTCTCTCTCTCTCTCTCTCTCTCTCTCTCTCTCTCTCTCCTGAGCATGCTCGCACGCACACACATGAATGCATGCACCATAACCCACCCACCCACACACACACACACACACACACACACACACACACACACACACACACATACAGATGTGGCAGCACCATATGCCACTTGGTGCCCGCTGCCACTGCCAGCTCCAATCTCTCTTGTCTCTCTCTCTCTCTCTCTCTCTCTCTCTCTCTCTCTCTCTCTCTCTCTCTCTCTCTCTCTTCTTTCCCACCTGAATGAACGCATGCACCATAGCGCACAACACACACTCACACGCACCTGTCTCTTATACACATCTAGATGTGTATAAGA